TTTGTATATATCATCAACTTGTTTCTCAAGTGTTTTTGTAAATACGCTTTTCACTTGGAATAAATTGTACAGTTCTACATATAAATTAGTGTGGTGTATTTTTATCATCTCATCGTACACTTACACTAAACAGTGTTGTGATTTTTCGCTGCCACTTCACTTTTTCACAGCGTCATTTGTGGTTGATCTTTTGGCGTTCTATAAGTTTATTTATTTATTTATTTAGTTATTTATTTATTTATTCAGAAACTCACAATCTTATATCAGTGGCACTCTTCCATAAGGAAAGTGCGTCTAAGAAAAAAATAAAACAAGAACATTTTAACTCCTCCATCACCCCTTCCAAAATATAAACACACCCATTAGACATCTTTCGCTTTTTGCTTACTGTTCCCTTTCCACTCATTTGTTCTTCATTTACTTTTTTCTAGGTCTAATCCATTTAATTTCGGTACATACCATTGGCAAATAAAGATTCAAGATTTATTTATCGTATTTATTCGAATAAACGCCCCGGAGTGCTTATTGTTGGGATGTAAGTACCGGTAAGGAGCGGGAATTATATAGCGCTTAATACTGAGGTCTCTTTACACTGAAAGAAAGGAAGAAATAAACATAAGGTAAATCCTAAACTAACAAAGCAGAGGAACCACAATGACCGCAACGTTCTCCAGCAATCTAAATACTACTCCATGGCAAGCAGTGGTAGGTTCATAATTCGCACAAATAAACTTGGCATCTGATTTACCTGTTTTAGGGGCATTTATTCGAGAGAGGCGTTTTTTGTTTTGTTTTTGTAAAAGGGATACGTATATACTCAAATAAACGCCCCTAATTCCAATGCAAATTAAATTTTACTGAAGTAAAACATTAATAGAATATGTTGAGAATGATTTTGCTTATATTAGTTTTGTTTACAGTCATTTGGGGGTGGGGGATTTTTTTTCGAGGAAAAATAAACGCCCCGGGGCGTTTTTTCGAGAAGGCGTTTATTTAAAATGATGCTCCGGAGGGAGCGCTTATTCGAGGGGAAGCATTTATTCAAAGTGGGGCGTTTATTCGAATAAATACGGTTCTTGTATCCGTTTATTCTTTCAAGTATTTCTAACTTTTCTCATAATTCAAATCTGAAAAGTCTACAACCCTTTTGTTTCTTCAATTTCCAATGGACAGGTTTCATAATCATATAGTACCGACTCCAGACTAAACACTTTATTATTATCTCTTCAGTCATTTTATGTTTTGAAAATGTATCCCCCTTCCCAAACACAATATTTTTCCATAGGCCTAATAAAAAGAAAGGATAAGGACCCTACCTTAATGGAAGAACGGTGTTACCAAGTATCAAATAATTTAATTCCAAGCATGTTTAAAGTGTCAAAGATATGCGTATCATAAATAATTGTTGTGATATTAAAAGATGTATGTTTGCTGCCCGCTGTAGTATTATTCTCTTTCATTAAGAGTGGCTATTGTCCTTATTTTAACCAATCATATTTCTTTTTTATTCAATCAGTAACATTTTGATGTTATTTTTATTATTTATTTTATTTTACTGGTTTCCATTTTTTAAAGGCATTTTACATCAACTTTTGTCTATTATTATAACTTTAAAAAATATCTCAAAGCCTTTAACCGTGAAATGTAGGCCATATTCCACACTTGGCGCAGTAGGCTTAGTCCTACCTTGCCGTCATCACTATTTTCCCGGGTCCCGCGCACTCTCTTAACCTAGGATAGTGAATAGGACACAAACGGTACCGTTTTTACAGAGAAGCTAATTACATTAGTAACATTAGATTCAAATATGCAAGTCCTCAGTCTGTATAAACTGACCTTGTTTTGTTTGGTTATAACATCTTTGTTTACGAAGCACATAAAATTGGTTCATATATCGTTTGACCTCTACGCTTATTTGTTTTCTTCGTAAGTAATAATTTTGTTTAAATATCACCCCGAGTTTAAGGGAGCAAAATACGTCTTTTACTTTTTAATGATTCAACAATATTACTTAGTGTGTGTATATAGGCCTTATGTATGAAGATGTGGTTTTCACCACAAAAGAGGGGAAACTGTTTCTATTATTTGTAGGTACAATAGGACAAATTATAGGAGCAATCAAACGAGCAAATTTATAATGCATGTAGCCTTGGTACGACAATCATACGTACAAAAAATGCAAATTAACCATAACGTATCAATATTTTCCCCCAAGTGGTTATCAATCCGATTAACATAAGTATGATTGCTGTTATTAACTAATGACCAGGAGTTTGCTTTAGGAAGTAAACAACAAAATGTGGTAATTTTTAAGCCTGGAATTATAATATATTGATTTATAACATAACAGTAAACACGTTACTACAATGACGTCACATTGCCGATGTATAAGTGCGCGGCCACAGTTTTAGCGGCGTATCGATATGCTATATTTTTTACCATTAATACCTTTACAAGTAGCGTTGCACAATAGTAGGCTTAACTTCAGACGAACCAAACAAGCTGATTAGCTTGAACCAAATATGAATGTTTTAAATCAATTTAAAAAAAAAATCTTATCTCCATGTAGAACTGTAGCATATTTTGATGATAATTATGCCTATTATTAAAACCAGGCTCCGGAAGGAAAACAAAGTTTATATGCTGTACAACTGATGTTTATAAGACACAAAAAGTGTGTTTGATGAGAAATTTTGGAAGGTTAATAAAATACAGATTTTTGAGTCTTTAAAAACAGGAGGAAAGGTGGAAAAGGATGGTTATTCCCCTTTTCAACCAGTTTTTAAATATTAGAAAATATGTGCCGTATCTCATAGGCCTATTAACCGCCCCTGAGTTTTTCGTCAAATATGCTTTTTATGTTTTAGAAAACTCAGTTGTGTACAACATAGGCCCTATACATTTTTCCACAGGAGCCTGGCTTTAAATCTTGTTCTGTCCTGGTCCTGGTGGGTAAAGCCGATAACATAACGTAAGTAAAGTCCATCACCGTTCTGAAAATATATTGTGGTCTGGGGTTCGGTCTTTAATTAGAGTGTTAAAAGATTGTTATATTGTTTATTTAATAGTGGTCTCGAATTAATGGGGTCTCGGAATTAGAGGGGTTTCAAATTTACAAACTGTTAACCCTACGACGAATCCAATTCCGCTCCCTGTGAGCGCTGACGGCGCAGTCTGAACTGATCCGTTGCGCGCGCCGCTTGTGGTGTTGCGTTTTACAGTAGAATCGCGTCGGCTGATGACCGTCGGGCGCAGTAACTGCCCGGCTTTAGACTCTAAAGTCGACTAAGTAAGACTTCCAAATTCTTATTGTTATGGTTTCAGGGGGCTCATTCATCGACGCATTCCGAGTTCAACCCTGACCGCGCCCACTTACACTCTCGTCGGGGACATCGGTATTCTCGTAAGGAACATCGGCTTTCCCCCGCCCCCACGGGAAAATCCTGGCACCACCACTGTATCGGTAGTAAAATCCCACTTTTTAGAAGTCGAGAGAATGATGCATTCTGCACCGGAAATCTGTGTTAAACGCGCAGTTTTTCCACAAAAAGGTATACCCATGTTTAGCATTACTTTGTATTGTTAATGAAATTCACGTTTAGGGCCGGTGAGCTCGCATATTCACCGGCATGGTGTAATTGACCTGAGCCTGTGTTCGTGTTCGGAGTTGCTCACTCGGGTTGGCGGCACTTGAACAGAATAACCCGAGGTCGCGATCACAATACTAATTATTAACTATTATCATCTGCAGCATTGCCTGCTCAACCCAACATCTGAACATGAATAGAAAATCGATAAAAGGTCAGAGCTTTTTAGGTGGTAAAATCGTTTGAGGTTTCAAGCGATTATGAAAATAGTGTTAATTTTCTTTGGTTATAATTATTTTTTGCACATTAATTACTTCACCTTGAAAGAAACAATCTGACTTCATATCGTAGTCGAGGCGGTGATTTAGGTGCTCTGGCGCTTGCATGTCCATTTCAACTTTGACGCGGAGGCAATCTATGACTGTGAATTGTGAGTCCACAAAAGCATCAATATATTACTCTAGGCCTATTTTCAGATCCTATTTAAATATATCCGGCTTTATTCAATCGTGTTAAATATTTGACAGAGAATTAGAAAATTTGATAGTACAGTAATAACAACCCCCGGTTTAGTAGTAGCGGCAAAGTGTTGTTGAATTGTCTGTAGTTTAGCTAATACATTTGCAAAGCGGCGCAGATCTGTTTTGAAAGGTTGTGGAGGGGGGAACAATCATCTGTCCACACCCACCTCAGCCCCACATTGGTTGGATTGAGGTTTGAAAATTCGAGGAAATAGTACCTCTGTATGGCCGGAAAGGACATTCTTATATGCTATAGTAAAATTCATCATCATGTACTCTGGCTGGACAGCGCTTTTTCGTTAAAACCTGGGTCATTTATGCAATTCGTTTCAACAATTTTCAGGCATCTTGACTAATGAAATTACATTGCGGTCGAAAATTTGGGGGAACCAACCCCCTTAAACAATATGTGGAGTACGGTTCCCCATGAGCTGCTCCACGAATAGACCTATGATTTAAACATCTATTAATAAGGTTCATTATTAAATACCAAGGAGGTATTAAGTAGTCTATTCAATACCTCCTTGTTTGAACAATATAAAAGTATATGTTAAAATTTCTCGCTTTTGCATGTATGTTTAAATATAGACAGCAAGCAATTAAAAAAAATCTACATATATGCAGATCACCCGTATTTAGGCATATATCAAAATTAACAGAATTGTTATAATAATAGGCCGATAAGAATAAAACCCCATATTTACCCCTTACCCAGAAGGTGCTACCACAGATGGAGGGTGTCACATTCCTGGTCCTGATGGACACTGTTGAGCATTGCGTTCGTATTTTATGTTCTGCATTAAATTTGATTATGATAGGCCTAACCAAACATTTCCAGACCAGACTAATTCCCAGTCCCAAGAAGCCCAATATCCAAGGCCGTCGGAACCGCACCGGATTTGGCTGGACCACTTTTTCTCATATTTTTATTAATTAAAAACATATATATATACTTTTACCTATAAATTATATAAATTTATTAATAATTTTTGCACTTCAATGTCATTCGAATGTTATATTTAAGTAGATATTCACCATGTGCGTGTTTTGTGTGCACTGTAGCCTATGCACTTCAAGCTCGTGTTATAAATTAATTGAAAACTTCGTTGACAATTAATTTTAGCAAAATTTGCCCACCTCATCCCCATCCATGCAGAGCATTATTATGGTATCTAGTCGCCCACTAACTTTATATCATGCTTTAGTCCGGTAGGGCACTACTGCAGCAAGTTTTCCTTCAGATACCTGGTTGGTTGTGCACCTGTATGATAACATCCAAATTACGGTGAAAGCAAACGTGATGTAAACTACAATATCGTACATGTCGTCGCAAAAAACAGCTTCTAAAATATTAAATGTTGGATTGGTGTTTCTTCTAAGTTAGAAAAATGTACATATAGGTAAGAAGAGCGTGTACTATGCCATACTGTATTTGTACAAGCCTGTATACCTACATGGTGTTATTGCGGCATCCATTGTTGTGTTGTTGTTTAGGCCTACATTTTCAGACCGGAGACTGTGCTTTAATTCAGTTTGTAGAGAGTCTTTTTCATTCATTTTGTGGACTATTTTACAACATAGCAAATCTTAAAATTTGACCATAATACAATGGCATTTTAACCGGAATATCGGAGTGAAAATGTAAACAACAGTAACAACAATAGAGCTAAAGATTTGTTGTTGTGTAATGACATACCGTATATTTTTTGTAGTAGGCATATGTTTTTGCAACCTACATTCAACAATGTAAATCTAAGTACTCTTTAAAATTAAATAAAATTATTTTAATTAAATCAAGTGTAATGTTATTTATATATTGACTTAAAAACCTAATATTGCGCTTTAATTTGAATAGGCCGATAACAATCGCATAAATAAACAAATGAATGAAATTGGAATGCAGCATAAAGTGATCTTAATGCCGTTAATGTTCTCAAAAACTTGTATATTTTTACAGTTTAATATATTTCCTGCACTGCATTCGTTTTCGATATATTATCAGCATTTTTGTTACTTCTAAATATTCTATACCGAATATCCTATATATATAGGCTTTATTTGTGTCATTTCGGAAAATCAGTTAGTACATCACATCGCAAAACAAAATGCAGTAGTCAGTATAAATAATAAATAGCTAGTAGTGGAGAAAATAAATTATAATTAGGCCATAAAACTTATTTGATATTTTGGTTAAGCATTCTAATGGAAAGTGGTACGAATGAATTAAGATATCTATTTGTTCTACAGACTTGTGATTTTAACCTTTTACCTGAGGGTAGCCAAGTAAGAGATGCATTTTGTGGGTGGAACTATCTACTAAACACCTAAATTATTCAAAATTATTTTTAAAATGGAGGGAAAAAAATTGTATTTTAAGTCATTTCCGGCCATCTAGAGCAAGCAGCATGGGCTGTCTCTTATACACATCTAGATGTGTATAAGAGACAGTATATAAACTGTCTTGCGGATTGCTATAATGATGGGTTGAAGGTGAAGAGCCGGTTGGACCCCAGCGCTTTGGTATTAGGCCTAAATGACGATACAGAGGTTCCGACAGAGTACTGTATTGGGTGAAATGTTAATATTTAATATTCGCTTTTAAGTTTTATTGCAAAAAATAACAAATTCTATATTTAGTACATTTTCGACTGTCCTAAAAATGTGGACCTTTCTTGAGTTGAACTGTTGGGCGGTGGGGAGCGTACGCACCCATTCACTTTAAAATAACGTCTTATTAACATGCACACTTTACTAATGAATCAATCAAACAATTAATTATATTTTCTGAATTTGTATTTCTATACCTCATGAAAGTATGAATTTCATAAAGTTTCCAAAAAGTGCTTTTAATCTAATGAGGTTTATACTTAAATGTGCCTACTTAACACAGATGCCAAAATGAAAATATTTTGAATGTATTTCTCACTAATTCAATCTCTTTTATTTCAGTGTCTCAGGTCAAATTTACCAATCTATCAGAAGTGCGAAGTCGATGTACAATCATTGTCAGCGGAACACGATGTGTATTAAATTGCCGGAACACAATGTAGGCCTACTATCAATAGCCGGATTTATGTGATCCGCAAATAATCGAGCGCTAATATTGATTAGGTTTTATACCACTGGATCATCGGAATTGAATTAAATTTGCAAATTATGTTTCCTGTAATCCTCGAACGATCTTGCATACATAAATATAATTAGGCGTAAGGATTCTAAATATGTATTACGGTATATTATATAGTTTTGTTTATACTACATTTATAGGCCTATAGTTCTGATTAGATGTAAGATTTCCTAGTATGTAAGAAATAAACATTATAATCCATAATACATCACTGTGTGTACTTCATTTGTCGTAATTGCATTAATAATAGGGCCTAATTATATTTCATGATATTAATCAGTATATAATCGAATTAAATATATTATAATTAGTTCGAATTGAATATACTACTATTATAAGCTTCTATATCTTATAAACACTAATATTGCAAAATATTTACAAGATACCAACAAGTTACGAAATTTTCAGAACAAGGTGGTACCGTCGAATTTTTACAAAACAGGAAATGACGTCGGTTGCTAGGCTACAGCTCATGCATATTCAGTAACACCTGTGCTCATTAGACTAACAATAAAAACTTTTACCTCAATTTTGACAAAATCGACCAAAAAGATTTTATTGTTAGTCTAATTAGAACAGGTGTTACTGAATATTCATGATTATTCATGAGCTTGTTGCTTAGCAACCACGTCATTTCCGGTGTTATGTGTTTTGTTGAGGGCGTCCTTAAATAGACAAACAAACAGAGTACGGTAGCTAATATTGATGAAGCAATTCTTCACTTTTGGTTTCCGCCTATAAGGATATTTTAGTTATAGAATTTATTACAGTAAACACAAACATTGAATAAGATGAGCAGAAATGCATAATTTTATTTGATATTTATTTTCAAGCACTGAAATCAAGTTGAGATATATGTATACATTTTATTATATATTGAATATAACATGTACATTCGGCAAAAAAAAAAATCAATAGACCTGATTTTAAATTATATATATTACTATCTTACATGTCTATATTATTTACAACAAACGCGTTACTTTCTCTGTTATTAAGATATACATTAGTAGTAATAATACGATATTTATAAATATAAGCCTACATGAATTAATACATAGGGCTATTGTTAACAATATTAGCGAGATTTTTGCAGAGGAAAATATTAAAAAAGATAAAATCCACACTATATTTTAATTAATTTCATATCCAGAATTTTGCAGGAAGCTTGATGAGTGACACCATTTTTGGTTATCTGTCAATAATTGGTAAGTTCTGTCGCCCATTCACGATCGAGTCCGGACATTCTATCCTGATATTTGTGACTTCGTTGTCTACCTCACTAGAATAGAAAAATAGTGATAACAAATTTAAAAACAGAGAAAGAATGATTACGGATTACCAAAAACATAATATATAAATAAAAATTAGTGAGCACTCCAACCGCAACATAATTTGTTTAAACTGTCGCAATGTATGGGCAATGCTTTCATGCCACGGAATGAATGAGGATCATCAAATACATGGTATTAAGTAGGCCAAGTAGATTGCAATAGCGTGAACAAATGTTAGCATTCGATTTTCATGGGTAAATTAATTATATAACAGTGTGCCATTCAATAGAAATGAATATAGGCCTATATATCATAAATACAGTATATTCAAACAATAAATATAATACTACAGCTATACGTTTATACAAACATTTTTCATGATATAATATTTATTGACTGATTGATTAAATTTATTCGATGTTCAACACGCACAAGCAAGATGAAAAATGAATTGTGATGAAGAAAAGTAAAAATTAATGAGTATCAGGAGTCCAGCTCATTTCAAATGGGGTCCCATTAAATGATATACTCTCACATGTCGATGAGCTGAAAAATGAGAAATTTAATTCCATAATTGATGATTAATAAAGTTATTAAATTCCAATTTAGTACCTGAATGACAAAACTGTTTTCCTGTCAATTACCAGACACTTTAATAATGTACATAGACACATAAATTGGCTGGTAGGCTCAATTTAAGGATATTTGTAGTAAAATGTCCGTAAATCAGGAAGAAAGATAATATTGTCGACAGGGAGTCCAACAATACTGATCGGGGTCTGAAACAAGGGGCTGCCTTGGTCAGGGTCCCGGAATAAAATTCATGGGGCGGGGTTCATGGGGAGAAATTTTATGGTTCAGGATCGGGCATGTGCGTTTTGACTATAATTGGATTGGCTATGAAAATGAATTTGTTTGGATTGGCAAATTAATATTTTTTATAACGTGGAGTCGGAAGATGGGGGGTCAATGCTAGTTTATAAGTTATGGTAACTCGGGCTACATGAGCAAGGCTAGTTGCTTTTGAATTTAAAACTATTAGCTATTTACACCAACTACATGACGTTACTGGGGCCCAGCATACCACCTTACATGGAGTATCCGTGCATACATGGCCAAATAGAGAGAGTGACGCTCATCCGTGTACGGCTCATTTCTGGTTTTAAAACTGTAGGACCTATCTGGTTTTCTTAATTTCCCTTTTTTATATTTCATCTTTATAAATTTTCAATTTTATTACTTTTTATTGTATATAAGATGGTCAATTGCTCTGTATTTTCGAGGAAAAAATGACAGCTGTATGCATTGGCAGATTCGAAGGGAGAGTGTGCATCCGGCCCTCACCTAAATTATTCAAAATTATTTTTAAAATGGAGGGAAAAAAATTGTATTTTAAGTCATTTCCGGCCATCTAGAGCAAGCAGCATGGGGGTGCCATAATCAAATCCATTTGTAAAAGTCCCATCCTGGATCCCATCTTGGCCTATTTCGAATTCCTGGATCCGTCACAATGGTGGCGCAAGGATTTGCCCGAAGGGGGAAAAAGAAATTAAAAGTGAGCGTGGTCGGGCGTCGCTCAAAATCTCTCGAAAGTGTTCGAGGGGACGAGGCCCCCGGAAAATATGACAATTTAGGGGTTTCAAAGGGTTATTTAATCGATTTTGAAGTCTACTAATATGTAGAAAACACATATGCTTTTTCTCCGACTAATCGTGGTTTTCCTACCCGAAGGGGTCCTGGAACCCCCCCCCCCCACCAACTGGAGCCACCCGTGCATCGTCATTGAGGTACACTTCCATGAAGATATTAATATCAATATTGATAAAGACGGTGTTATTTAGGCGTACTTCGATCACTTTCGCTGTCCTTTAAAAATAATATAGACAATTATTTTTGTCGGGCTGTAACAAATTTCGATTATTCATGATTAAAAATTGGGACCAGATAATGACAAGATTCTTGGTAATAAATTTCATATAATATCAATTAAAAAAACAGAAACGAATCTACAATGTAAACAACGATCGGAAGTTAACAATCCGCAAGCTGTGGAAATACCGTTTCTTTATCCAGTTTCAGGTCTTCGATATTTTAGGGAGTTATCTAGAATGCATGTTGTTGTTGAATAATAGAGCAATGAATAGAATGCAACCATGTCAAGTGCATGCTTCTATCGAGAATATAATCGTCAATGCCTTAAATTCCTAACTTAGTCAAAATAATAACCATAGAATGAAGGCAGAATTCCCATTTAACTATTGAATTAACGATGAAAAATGTCCAATACTGTACTCACATTTGTTATATCATTTGTAAAGTCTCCTTCGTAGTCTTTCAACTCCATTCAGTATTGATATGTAAAACGCCACCTGGAAAGGAATAAAAAAAAAAAAAGAACAATTCATTTTTCTTTTTCTGAAGCGCCAATCCTTTATGATAATGGGGATGATGATGATGGTAATAACGATGGTAGTGGTTATGATTATATTCATGATATTTTTTGGGGGGGTTTTGGTTTCCGTTCCATCTTTACACTTGCCTGATAGTGCTTAGAGACTTTTTGTATTTTGCGATCTATAAATTAATAACCATTAACCATAACCATGATAATGATGATGATGTTAATAATTATGAGTATGCTGATGATTGTAGGATAAGAATCGACTTTTTAAATTAAAGAATACCAATGGAATTAGTATATAGGCTGTAACTTAATTTAATGCTTTAAAACATACGGATGAACGTAACCGGAGATGTTACGTAATATCGACGTTCAGCGTAGCAAGGATGACAAACCGGTATGCAACTACAGAGTCCACCGAAAATTGAGCGACTCATCCTCCCATGCAGCTCCCGTTACACAATATACAAGGGTGAGTCCAAAAGCTACCTGAGCCGATGACAATCGAGCGACTCACACTCCGCCGCCGTCGGAACCGTGGCCGGACCACTTTTCTCAATACCGGTACTCTTACTTATTTTAATTTAAAAAAAAATGTATACTGATATCTATATTAAACGAATTTAGTATTAATGTTCGCATCAAATTTTCTTTTTAATGTTTTATATGTTTATATGTAATCCACCATGCGCTTGTTTTAGTATTTTGTTTAAGTACACTTTTTTTCAATCATTAATTTGATAATTAGAATTGATTTTATAAATGCTTAGAGGTATAATTATAAAATAACAATTATTTATTATAACATTTTGGGGGAGGGAGCCGGCCAAACTGTCACCATGACACAAAGGTATAATGGTCAAGCCGGTCCTAATACTTACAAGAGATGGGTAGGATACGGTAACTAACTGTTGTGTCTGCCTTTTGTGGGGAGGGTAGAGACTTTATAGGTCTGCCACCTGCTACTTCCGGGCATCCAGAGGTGTCATATGACCTATTTCCAAACATAGCTCCCCTCAGCCCTCAGTGGGGCTGAGGTAGGTATAGACTACCGGTATAACGGTGATGTGATGATGATGAATTGTATAAGAGTGTCATTTCTGGCCATCTAGAGGTACTATTTTTTCAAATGTTCGCACCTCAGCCATACTCATAGTGGCGCTGAGGTTGATATGGACTCACAGTTTGAACAGTGGTGGCACCAGGGTTTGCGGGGGGTCCGAGGTCTCCGATGGGGGAGGGGAACGATATCCCTGACGAAAAAAAGTGGGCGTAATCGGGCGTCGCTAAAAATCTCTCGAAAGTGTTCCAGCTTAATTATCTACTAATATGTAAAAAATACATATACATTTTTCTCCCGGAACGGGGAGGAGGCAGCTATCCCCGACGGGGCCCTAGCCCCCGCTGGCGTCAACCCTGGGTTTGAAGTAGGTAGAGTAAAGTAAATACATCAAAGACAATGTTTTAAAGTTAATTTACAATGGTCATCACACATATTATTAATTAGATCTCCAT